TATATATATATATAAATAACTACAAAATTACTACAGTGTGACACAATTTTCAAACAGGAAGAACTGAATCTGATAGAGTTAGATGTGATGCAGAAGCCAGTACAGATTGAGATTATTATACCATGGAGCCATGCCCCGTGTCTCTGCAGGTCACAGATATCATCTCAATCCAACCCTGGATTTGACAACTAACATTTCTTTTAATCTTCCTTGAATTCTTCCACAGAAAGCAGACTTTACATGATAAGGCATGCAGTTCACACAGCTTAATATAAATAATTTCAACAACTCATTTCTTAGAGTGCATGTACAACTCTTTTCTTGATGATTTCCAGTCCTATTTACATTTGTAGTGTGTAATGAGGTGCAATAGTTTAAAGTGAAAGAGTATATTTTTTTTATGTTTTGAATGTAAAAAAATAAAAGTAATAGTCACAATTTGAAATAAATGGTAAAATTACAAATCCTCAAAAAATAAACACRTTAAAAAAGGTAACAAAGTAAATACACCTCTGCAAAATACACAAAGACAACTTGCTTCTTATTTTGTCTTTGTTTTAAAAAGTCAGCCAGCCTACATTTTCTTAAAACTAGAGTTCATGTCAACAAAAGCAGAGCCAGTTTAAAGTTGTCTCTTGGGAAACCAGTTGAGATTGAACATTTTTTATGTGTTTGTCWGTGTGTTTGTGTTTTAATGCTTGTTGAGAACACCTTGTAGTGAAGGACGGAGCTGCTTTCAGTGTAAAAAAAAAGACACTAAACACAGCAGGCTGCGCTTTGATGATTTGTGCCTCCTGCTTTCATAAAAGCTATGAAATATCTGGGGTTTCCTTAGTGATGGTAATTAGCCAAGGGGAAAGAAGTTAATTAAAACCCGTAAAAAAAGAAAAAAAAGAAAAGAAAAGCAGACTATACTTTGAAAATTCATTAAAGAAATATTTGATGAGAAAGTTTAAGTAATTGCTGTGTAAACTTATAAATACCTCTTTAATAAGTGGCCGATTTGTTTCTATGTTATATTTCCAATTTAGAGTTTAAAGGCTGTCATGGCTGCATTACTTCAYTGTTTGCCAAAAGGTGTGGGGCATGACATGCATTTTTATCAGGCTTTAAAAAACATGATTTTAAGATATTGGCTGTTATCCAGATGATAGTAATGGCATTCAGAGGCCAAAATCTGGTTCACAACAGATGTAAAGTCAGCCTAAACAAAGAAACAATACAGGATTCATTAAACCAGACAAATCCAACCAGCCAGAAAGACAAAGAGTCAGAAAAAAATGAATAAAAAAAAAAACAGTCTGAAAAGTGGATTTCTTCCACTTATTTTCTGTTTTTGATCACAGGCTCCAGAAAAATCTGCATATAATTTAGTTTCTGTGTTTCATTTTCACAGGTATTATTTCAAACATTAGATACAGACAAGAATGTACGTCATGCTAATTCATTCTCGTCCTTTTTGATCCARGCAAAATAAAGACAAATGGGGAAACAGCAGTTGTAGTGTTTCGCTGGTTGAACTTCAACATGACAACTCTGTGCTGAAGTTCTCCAGTCATCGTTTTCATTCTTCTGGGACAAACAACACTTTGCACAAACATCTGCTATGTTGTTTGTAATCTGCCAACTTTGCAAAAACCGTGAAAAATCTAATTGAGTCGACGTCTCACCTCCAATCAACCTGCAGCATATGGAAACTGGCGAAGGTAATGAGGTATGCTCTCGAGGACATTTTTTTAATCATTAACAGCCACTTTAAAACCAACCAGTTTCTTCCTTTCAACACACACACACACACACACACACACACACACACACACACACACACACACACACACACTGTATTACAGACTACAGAGTCTTCAGGAACATAATCACAAAAAATTCTAAAAGCCTGAGGAACATAAGCACGCTCTTCAAGTACACTTCACTGGAATTTATCATCAAAAAATGTTGATAGTAAGGTGAAAACAAAAACAATTTTTAATGAGAACTATGATGTTCAACTATATTCAGCTTTCACAATATCAAATCTAAAAATCAGTTTTATKTGTTTAAATCTAACCCTTCCGACAATAAACAACACAAACGCTCTGATTGGATGAACTTGTTTTTGCATCTCACTCACAGATCTTGCTTACTTTGGTTATTTCAAGGTGAAGCCAATAATGTTTGTCCTGCCTTTGTGTGTGTGAGTGCGAGAGAGGTTGGGGTCTGTATTAACAAAATGTCCAATACTGGACAAAAGTACAAGCAGCTAATAATTACTAATATTTGGATTTATATCTTCAAATAATAACATTTGGAGGTAACCCCRTGATCTCCACATTGTGTGTACTGAGCTAAAATTTGTATGGTAGTAGCTGAGAGCCATCCCCAAAATATACAGGACTTCAAGCACTAACAGATCRTGTACCATCTCACAATATAAGAACTGGAACAACAACTAATTAAAGACCTTATTATGTTTGCATTTTCATAACAGAGCACTTCACTCTCRGACTGCAGGTTTACTTGTGGTTTCTAGAGTTTCTAAAAGTGGCATGGGAGGCAGAGCTTTCAGTTCTCAGGCTCCTCTCTTGTGGAACAAATGTCCAGTTTCTGTCCGTGAGGCTGACACTCTGTCTACCTTTAAGACTAGACTTAAGACTTTCCTTTTTATAAATCGTATAGTTATACTTAGGTTTCCTTAGTTATTCCTTAGTTATGCTGCTATAGGCTTAAACTGCTTTTGTGTTTGTCTGTGTCTCTTTTCTGCCCCCCACCCCCCAAACCCAACCAGTCAAGGCAGATGGCCACCTGTCCTCAGCCTGKTTCTGTTGCAGGTTTCTTTCTCTTACAAGGGAGTTTTTCCTCTCCACTGTCGCCGATGTGCTTAAATTTATTTTATATTTTGCACTGAATCATAAACAAAAAATTTGCAACTGATTTAACGTGTATTTTTATAATAATTTAAGTCAGTGGCAGGTTGGACATGGCCCGTGGGCCGTCAGTTGAATAGCATGATCATAAGATGATGAGACACTGTCATAATATGTGGCAGACAATATAAATATTCCTTTAAGGAGTGATATACATTTGTTTCTCATTCTCTTTATGTTAATTTATATAGCAACAACCACAAGCCCTGTCTCAATTTGGTAGGTACCTTTGCAAAACACAGTCTAAACATGTGACAGATGCAGTTTTAAAAACAAAATGGCCAAAAAGAAAAAAAAATAAAATAACATGACAGATGCCTCTCCACTTCCTTTTTGGGAATAACTGTAAACATTACTGGGTGCAAAGCCAAAYTCACAAGCTGTTACCCATCACAAGTAAAAAGCAAACACTGATACAATAGCTGCTCTTTTCTGGTGGCCTTAAAAACAACGTTTAGTTTATAAAGTGGCTATCAGTTCTGAATTTACTTTATGATGATTGCAAGAGACAACCGTGGACATAGATCAGGATTATAAGGAACATAGCAATGTAAACTTTTTCACAATTATGCTAACGTCTTTGGTCCATTTTTATCTTCAACATCAGTCAGTTCTCTGTTGCTTTWAAAAACAAACAATTATTTGGAAATGACAGCAACAAGAACATCTTCTTACTTAAATTCAGTCATTTCAATTTGCCTCTCTGATTCAAGAGTGCCCACTTCCTGTCGCTCCCCACAGCCCCCCTTATAATTGCAGTGCAGATCCACTCCACTTAATGTTTCTGGAGCTTGTAAGTCAACCAAAGTCCCCTTTTATCAAGTTTTTATTAGCGGTTGATTACTGTCATCGCCTGCTGGGGCTGCCAAGCTTTAGCCTTCATTAACATGCCTGAGTCATACGAATGCTGTTTAGAGAGCTAAACAACATCCAGCTGAGGAAGAGATAAGTCTTCATTTAATGTGTGTTCTGTTCTGCTCAGCTCCAGCCTATTTCGTTTTTGTTCAGTTCTCTCAGAAAAGCGTAGAATGGCATCTTCAAGTGAAATGTCATTGCAACAAAAAAAGGAGGGTGGGCTTTTGTGTGATTCCATGTGGTAGTTTTGCACCCTGCCTCATTTCATGAGAAATAATTCTTTGAAAAGAGTGATTCATTGTCATCATGATGACACCTCTGCTTGATGCCCTGCAATCCACTGCACAGAACTTTTTCAATGCTTTCCAGTGCGCACGTTCTCTGTTTTTGTCTGCATATTCCCACCAGGCAAACATTCAGCTCTAAAAAAACCCGATGGAAAATCAAATACTGTTATAAATTATTAAACTTAAAATTAAATTTCATTAAATGTGCAGTTATTAYCTGCTGCTAAAAGGCAAAGGTGAGTGATGATGTTTTTGACAATAACATATCAATTTTACAATTTTGTGTGGTAACTGAAAATATTCCCCAATACATCCCTCGACAGCTACACTATGTGCAGGTCTGGGCCTAAAACATAAYTGCTAAAACCAACCCTATGTGCTATCAAAATATCTCATGAACTGCCTGTGACATACATATGTATGCATATGCATATATACAGTGGAGGGCAACACTAATCTAAAAATTAGTTCCACTAACCCTAAAGCACTAACTCAAATATTTAGGTCCCCTAATTCTAAAGCACTAATGCACTGAAAWKTTTAGCAAAAGCTAATTCTAAAGCWCTAAAATAACCCAGTCAACTCATGAACATTCTTCAACARACAACATGAGTCACATATCGCCATGTTGCTCTCTTAAGATTTATCATTGACATTCCACAGCTGTTTTTGTGTTCATTGTCAATATATTGTCACCTAGTGGATAAATCACACATATGAACACAATGTGCTACAGATTTCACCCTCAGCTGTTAACAACAGCGTTGATCAATAACATTTACAGACTTCAATTAGTGCTTCTAAATTTAGCCTGGAAATTTAGCAAGTGCTAATCCACTAGGAAATTTTAAAATTAGTAAAAGCTCTAAAGCACTAATCAGGAAATTAGTTCCCCTATTAGTGCTATATCGCTTTAAGGGAACTGTGCCCACCACTGCACACACATAGACACATGATGTTATGTATTGTGCCACATAACATATATTTTCTTTTGAACTTGGCTCAGTCAAAGTGATACAGGAAATGCCATCGAAGGGGACCTCTTAAAGAAAGTGACTCCTCTTCATCTATAGCTACGTTCACACTGCAGGTCTTAATGCTCATTTCAGCTGCCTGTTTGTTTACTGAGTTAGCATGGAAGCCACTCTTAGCAAGTCAAATCTGAAGTTGCTGTTCAATAACAGCCGATTAAATAATTATCTGACGTGCTTGTTTATTTTATTTTTAATACCTGAACCTGAATCTGATTTGTCGCATTCAAATTGTCATAAAAAAATCAGATATGGGTCGCATGGGGCAAAAAAAATTCTGATTTGGGTCACAATTGCCTCCAGTGTGAATGTAGCCTATCTCTGATAGTCACTCAAAATAATTTAATAAAAAACATCAGATTATTTTTGACAGTCTGTGTTGTCAGCCATTGTAGCAATGTTCTGTTCATTTGCAGACATTCCCCTTTGTCATCACTTCCTGTTAGTACACATGTGAATATCTCAACAAGAGTTCATCTCTGCATTATGATTTCTTTAAATGTTATTAATGTTTTCTTCCCAAAAATGCATTCATGTTCGTTACAAAAAATGATGTCACAGGCACTTTAATAAAACTTTTATAAAACTGCTCATTGGATGTAGGATTTCCTGTAGGAGTCAACCCAGTTCAACATGGCTGTCACACTTTATCAATCATTGCCAAATGATTATAATTTAGTTAGATGTACAGATACTAAACACATATTTCATGTTGTAGATGAAAATCATTCACAATCCATACTTCAAGCTTAAACACGTTGCGTGAGAATTTGGGATATCACATAAGAGCGCACATAACTTCGATACTTGACTAACATGACTAAAACGCTGTCATTTCTCAAGATGATCTCAGTCTAAACCTTTGGCATGAAAGGCAACAAGTGATACTTAAAATAAATACTAGGCATTTCACTTTAAAAAAATGAATCTTTCTGGTCTAATGACCAAAGCTCATCTAATAGATTGTGCTGGATAGTCATCTGTCTACATGGAAGCTGCAGTGTGGGAGCAGCTCATTTCTTCTCACAGTTTTGCTTAAAAGAACAAAAAGGCTGTGTCACCGGTGTCGTCTCCCCTCCTCACACACCACTACATCATCTCACAGACATAACACATGCTAATGGACCATGATGCGGCTAATGGACTGCATGAACCACGCTGTTACAGGCACTCTTGGTAACATTATGATGGCAAGAAATCATGTACAGGTTTTAAGCCTTATGGAGCAAAATGGAGCAGGCTTTCTCTCAAAAACAACAAAAAGAGAGAAACATCAAAGCAACTGAGAGCTGAATGATTAAACAATRCGGTGAGAAAAAAACGGCACAAATAAGGGTGACGTGGTACTTTTGTTTTTCAACATCTATATGTTTTGGTTGGTGGCTGAGACCACCATCTTGTCCAAAGTCAGGATCTGGACTCTCGATTTGTAAAAAAAAAAAACATGATTCAAAAGATACTGAAAGAAAATGCAGCTGTCTCAAAAGACAAAAAGTCATTTCAGTTRTACAAATGAACAAATACTAAAACATTTCAAACAAATCTCATTTTATTGTAGTTCTTCATTTCTGCGCTTGTTTTAGTTTCAAGTTTCAGTATCAGGATTTCATTTTTTACTTGAGCAAGTTTAATACAAGAGTTTTCTTGCTTCATGGTTCTTTCATATAAAGTTAAGCTATAAACATTTTGGCCATATAGTGTATACTTTAGGTACTGCATACACTAGATCATGTGTCCAACTCAAGGTCCACAGGCCAAATCTGGCCCTCGTTAACATTTCATCTGGCTTCAAAGGTCATAAAATGTAAAATAGTTTGATGGCTTTTCATGGTTTTTGTCAGTTTTCTCATGCCAGTCTAAGCCAAGAAAATACATTTTTAAATAATATYATTTTATTATGTTTTTTGATGTGGGAAGAGCAAAAGAGAATTGAAATACTTTCCTGTGTTCTCTTCTTGTTTTAAAGAGAATTTTTCTTATTCTTAATTTTAAATTTTTTTAATTAATTTTTTACTGATTTGTGATAAGATTATCTCAGAAATGTATCTAAGAAATAATAAATGAAAAAGTTCTGAATAGAGTGTAAGGCTTAAGAAATGAATACTAAATCTATTTCTTTGTAAATGTAATCTGTTTTAGTTTATCCATTACATTTCTTCTAAAAGCTCCACAAAACATAATTTGGAAAAGGTCATTCTTATTTCTATAAGAATTGTTTATTATATAACTTTTTTCAGTAAAGAATAAGAGAGAATATTTGAATTATGGTTTCCTAGTGCAACAGAGTTTGACACCTCTGCAGAAGATATTTCACAAATAAATGTTAGTTGTGCACCACGATGTTGTAAAAATTATTGAATTTGCTTTTACCAGATAGAAATCAATATTAGAAAAGAACCCAAATAATTCCCTGAAGAACAAAAATGAATGTTGTCTCTTGTGTCATTGTTTATATCCTCTTCCTATAATAAAGATGTCATTGTTGAAATAGCACACACATCTACTTGTTTACCTTGTAAAGCCTCCTTGGCTCGATCCAGTTCCTGCTCCTTCTGAGCCAGCTGAACCCGGAGCTCAGTGGCAGAGAGGACGTCAGCCGAGCAGCCTCCCTGGGTCTCCTCCAAGTCCTTACTCAACATGTCCTTCATCTGCCGCAGCAGGTGCACCTCCTCCTGGAGCTGGGCCACCTCCTCGCGCAGCAGAACTACAACACACAGGAAAGAAGGAGGAAAGGTTTGAGGGGGCAAATTCAGAAATATGGAACTTTTTTAATGCCGGTAGAGTGAAAAGAAAATGGTTCATATGTCAAAATAAAATCAGATGAAAATGGGTTTTTGGACTCCAGACTCACACACACAGTGTAAATTGCAGCAGAAGCTGTTCTGTCAAAAATGGAAAACTGAATAAAGGTCAGCATAAGGCAGCTAAAATTTCATTTCTGATTGAAATAACTGCAGCACAAAATTACCTACTTTCAGTAATAAAAAAAACAATCTAAAAGATTCATGGGTTTCTAGAAGATAAATACAGACAAGGCACTGATGCTGAAATAACTTTTTTTGAACCCACTGTGACGAGAATAATGACATCCATTTAATATTCACTCAATGTTGCTTCAAAGTGTTCTTCTGTGACTTTATCACAAAGAAACAAATAACAAAAAGAAAACAAAACCTAGGGGGAAAATATATTTTTTTCTATCCTGAGTCACTGAAAAACAAATTCTCAAAACACCGACACCAGCAACTTTTTAAACAAGCCACAACAGAGAAAAATAATGCTCATATTTYTCACTTCAAGTCTCAGAATAAATAAAATAAAATTGAATGGGTAAAAAAATATAAATATGAACCATTTTGCACACTGGATGTACTTATGGATTTATTTTGTAGAGGGAGATGGAGTCATTCAGCTCTTTTTTTGCATCCTCAGGGTTAAGGGGTGGGGGTAGGGTGTTAAAAAGCTCAAGTGCTGCATAAATTGCTTCATATTCTTCCACCACATCTCCACTACCATCATCTAAGTAAATTAGCAATTGGATGGCAAAATKTAGGAAAAATAGGCAGATTTGTCATAATACCAAGAGCCATTTAAAGCTAAAATACATATAGCTCTAAAGGTTGGAAATTCATTTAACATAGAGACATGTATAAAAGGAAAATGTATACAAATACTAGTGTGCAGTAATTTTAGCAAGTACAGCAAAAGTCCAACAATTTTATAGAACTTCAAAAGGTAAAGGTAGGTGGGATTTAATGATTTTTTTAAATTTTATTGCAAATAAAGCATTCTCTGTTTTATATATATTTTTCAGTACTGATTATACATATCTTTGACTTTATCATTAAAAGTTGTATAAAATTTGATAAAAACTAAACAAGTTAAAAAATGCTGACTAAATGATAGAAGTTGATCCTTGAACCACAATAGTATATATTTATTTTTCCAGAAAAGACTTTGAACTTTTGGAAGAACATTAAAGTTTTCTCAGAAGGAAAAATCATGTTAAATTTTTAAAAAAGATCAAAACACATGCCACTGCATCATCTCACATGCATAGCATGGTTTAATACTATTCTTATGCTATTTAACAACATTAAAAACACTCTTCCTTATATGTTCTACTCTGAAAATAAARTAAAAAATCTTTATGATGAGTTCACTGCCTGAAGGAAAGTGACCCTTTGAGTCTACTAACTTGACTAAATGTATGTGATTAAGGATAAGAGCTGCCTGCTAAATAATARTAGTGAATTGTTAAAGGAGTAATTAGAAAAAGGGTCAAGAGAAAAATGCAGGTGAGTCAAGTGTCATTACACACAGAGTTATACTTAATGGAGCTGATAATGGAGACACATTTTAGATGGCAACTCAGGCAGCACCATATTGAGGAACCCAAAGACTTGTCCCATTCTGGAAAGAATCAACCTCAGTAAATCCAGTAATAGTCACMGGAATAAATTTACTTTTAATGACCATGCAAAGGCAGAAACACAAGGACGAACACAGAAGGCACAAGGGCAGTGAAAACACTTCAAAGTAAAAGTTCTTCYATTGCAGCATTTATCGAATATTTGYACAAGGAGGAAYATAAAACAAAGCAAGTTTGACATATGAATACTGTAAAAATGACTGGATGTAAACTTTTATCCATGGCTCCTGGATAATTTAAAACATATAGAACGATCATGGTTACTGACAATGCAAACTGTGCTTACGGATTTAAAATAAAACTGATCGAAGCTTTGGAGGTACAGTTTGTCAAACTCTGCAAAGCAAAATATCAGGTAAACTGTAGGCTGTGGTCAAAAGATGATGTGTTACTTAGCTGCTGACCTTAAGTTAGTGAAGCTCAGTGCAGTGCTGTTATTGTCATCCTCACTGCCCATTCAGCAGTATTATTTTGCTACAGTGGCCCACTGTTGCCTCTTCAGCTACACAATAACATTATATTTTCAAGTTAAAGGCATAAACACGTAAAGCTTATTTAGTGTTTTTTAAGTCTTCAACATGTCTTGTAGAGAATGCTACAGGGAACAGACTGTGGCTTTGGGGAACAGTCTAAAAAATGATCTATGAGTTATGTACGTTCAATGATCCCTCTTTATGTCTGCTTTCATTCTGTTCCAATTCCATTTACAGACTCGCTTGCTACTTAATATGATTCACTGAAACAGTAAATAAAATCCCCATCCTCGGCCACTGATCTAAATGACTGCTGAAATGTGTGCATTTGCATAATAGCAGCCATAAATCAGCTGACATGCAACAGGAGCCAGTGATTTATGAATCTGATCAGTGTCATTTCCTATTTGTATGGTTTAACCCAAATGGCTTAAAATGTCTCCCTAAATAATCCTGCAGCTGTTGTGTGACAGTTTTGGTATGGTGGAAAGCAGTCATTAATTTTTTTTCCAAAGTATCAGCACTTCTCTGAGGATGTAAAACKTATCAGGCTGTATTTATGCTCAATGGTGGGGAAAGGTGATTAAACATTTCATTAGAAAATTACAAATTACAAAGACTTCTTTTATGGGTCTGAACACCCTTTGCAACCAACTTAGTTTGCTAGGAAAAGTCTATGAATTCAATTTAGATTTACCAAAAACTTCTCAGGAAACTATTACAAGTCTTTGGAGCTCATACTTTTAAAGTTCATAGAATATGTCAATATGAGGCCTTTTTTTATCTGCCTGTCTTTATGTCACTCTGTCCCCCACAATCTCTGTTCTCTAAAGCTGTTCCTGTGTCTCGCAGTTCCTCCTTTCCCACAACGAAAGTTGCAAAAACGTCCAGCAATCTGTCAGAGATTTCATTGGCCATGAGGCAGCTGAAATTGGCCTTGGCTGGAACAGCGGTGGAGGTGGAAAATTGATGGAGAACGACAGTGAGTGTCTAGAGGGGGGTCATTTTTAGATTGGTTTTTCCGTCTTTCGCGAGCGTGGGAGGGAAAGACAGAATGGAGTTCAATTTTTACCCAATACTGGCGACAAAATCAATTAACGGACTTATTGTTTCTACAGAATTTGTATGCAGTCTGCAGTTAAAGCACAATGATGGCAATTTTATTGTTGCTGCTGCAACAGAATGGTCCACCTTGTATACAACACAATGACAAAACCTGCTGCGAAAAAAACTGAACAATATTTACATAATATAAAAAAGCATCATAAAATCMTGACAGTGTTTTTAAATGTAGTTTAGATGATGTTTATGCACCACTCTGAGTGCTGCTGTTCAGCATATATCATGTTTGACTAAATCAACTTAACCACAGTGCTACAAAATAATTTCCTTTCAAACCTACAGTCACAAACAGTGTCATCTTTATGATTGTTAAGAACCAACTTTATGCSACTAGCAAATAGACAAATGGTGGTGTGCAGAATCAAGTGCACTGCAACACAATAGCTTAGTGGTTAGCACTGTTGCCTCAGCAAAACAGTCCTGGGTTCAATCCACAATTTGGATGTGGGGTCTCACTGTGTGGATATTGTATGTTGTATGATTTCATGTTTGCACAAGATTTTTCTTTTCCAGGTACTACAGTTTCTTCCTTCATTGTCTTCAAGCCCAGGTCTCCCTTGCCAAAGAGACGTGTGATCTCAACTGGCTTTGCCTGGTTAAATGAAGGTAAATAAATGCAGCACATATTGTATCACAAAGGCACAACCCAATTCAGGAATGCGTTGAATAAGAAAGGGGATATAAGAGCAGCTCGGGTCAAGAATGTGGGCAACAAGTGCTTTCATGATGGGAGGCAACAATTCACATCCTCTTATTTGTTTTGGACCTGCAACTGAGCCCTGTTCCTGCACTCACAATCTGTATTCAAACAGATTGTCTGAAAATGTTCACAGACTGCAGGTTAATAGTTTAACCCTTTACGGGACCCCGCAGACTTGTGTAAATAAATGATTGATGTTAGAGTGTTGGATGGTGATTATGTAGTTAATAATGGGTCTCGCAAAACATTTTTGCAGAACTGCTCAGGGAGTTCCTTGCAGTGTCACYTTTTACTTCCTGTAAGTGCTTCTTATTCAAAGAAAATATGTAGTAAAATGTAAGTACTTTTCTGCAATAAAATATGTTAACTTCCTTTTAGAGAAATGCAGCGGTACTTGTTGTGTTWATTTCTTTATTTTAGGGTAGGTTTTGCGTATAGTATTGCCCTGATGGTGAAGGCTGCTGTGCTTGGTCGGCAGCAAAAGTTTATTCCTTCTACACAAATGTAACACAACTGTTTCAACTTAGCCTGGCTGCCAATGGTGACTGCAACAACAGACATAAATTGCACATCAGTTTTAAATGACATATTCAAAACCGTTGTTTTTAAGATTCCCTGAAAATAACTGTAGTACCACCAAATAAAATGCTACACAGAGTAAGAATGATTTCACAATACATATAAATTTAATTACTCGGAGATTTAGGCTTGTGCAGAAGTTGCCAATAAAYATTATTTAAGTTTAGGTCATAAAAAGGATTATCAGGGAAGTACATGAAAAACCAGCACTGACATGCATCATTTTTACATTCTTTCTAATCTGATCCTGAACATATCATGCTGAGCAGAAAGCCCAAATACATTTCAAACAGCCTTTCTTCTCAAATGAGTTAGCGGGGACATTAATAAAACTTTAGAGTCTCATTTTCTCAGTGTGTCACACAAACATATCCTCATTTTTATGGACCAGTGATAGC